AGATTATCTAGTACATGCAGTTTCGGGGTTTCTTGTGTTCATGCAGTTTCGGAGGCAGTGCAAAATGTCGAACATTTGTTGTTCTATTGTTCAAAGCTCAAGGAAGGACGAAAAGAAACTCATTTCTAGGTTAAAAATTCTGTGAATATTACATTTCCTCCTCCCCTTCTTCACGTATCTTGTCCAACATAAAATGGCTTTCTCTTTCTTCTGTAAATTTATCTCTTACGTGTCATCTGTGAATTTGTAAGTTTATTTTATTTTGTGTTGTGTTGTCGTATTTTTTTTTCTTTTTTTTAACTTACCTCTGTAAGCCTTGTGTGGTGCACAGGGATTTAAAATTTTCAATTTAAAAAAATAAATAATTCAAACCTTAAGCGTTTGTTGGATTCAATCGATTATTGAAAAAATGGCGAAACATAGATGCCAATCTAAGTTAAGGGATGTCTTTGTGGAAGAAAACTACTCCAGAGGGCCATATATGTATATACATATTAAAATCAAAACATAATCAAATCAAATTCAGATATATTCAATTTTAAAATAATGAACTGGAACAAAAAGGTCAAAATTTCTAATGCAAAAAACTATTAAGAGTATGGGGGGCTGTTCTAAAATCCCCAAACAAACCAATGTAATGCAGAAACACAGTAGGTGCAAAAATTACCATACACGCAGGTTAAGTGCAAAAAGACAAAGGCATATTGATTTTAATTTTCCCACTACATTTTCGACAGAAGGTTCTGATAAATGCACAAATATATGAAATTAAATTTAAATTAAGAAAACATGAATTAAATCAAAATGCGCTTTCATTAGTCGACGGGCTTGAATCGAAAAGGTAACTTGCGGAAATTTAAATAAATGGAGATAATTAAATTCAAAAGTAGAAAATGCAGTGCAAAGAATGATTTAGAATTTATGCAAATTTAAAAAAAAAGAGTACTTCAAATAGATTCTGCACCCTGGAACAACGCTATAATTTCGTCAGCATCATAAAGCAATCAATAGACCAGAAACATAAATCTCGCGTTAAGAAGAGTAAACATGATAACTATTATAAAACAAAAACTAGTCTTTTAAATTGAATGTTGATGAGCACAAATTTTGGATATAAATTAATAAAGCTTTCAATAATAAATTAAAAAGAGCATACAAAATATAGGAATAAATTTCAAAACAAAAGCAATCTAACCCTAACATGTGTAAAATGTGAAAGGAATAGTTTGTGGCTATTAATCAAATAAACAAAACTTTAGAACGTATTACTATTGCTAAATACTAAGAAACTAAAAGAATTAAAGCTGTTGCAATTTGGAAACGTATGTGAAAAATAATTAATACCTTAACATTTGTGGAAGGACATGATAATACACTGTCACAACGAATCTTATGTATTTATGCTAGAAAACGTTGGAGTGGTTGTCGCTTAAAATTATAATGAAAGTAAATTAAAACTAACTAGATAAAGTTCTTTAATTAATTTTTTTTTAAATTTCATAACAAAATTTAATGAATTATGAGTTAAAGTAGCAGTGCTTTAACCCATAACATAATATAAATTTATAATAAATGCATTTAGTACTTTTAAATGATAAGCTATAATAAAACACAAAAACTAATCATGGCATATAACATGTAGACTTACGATCTGACACACGAGCAAACATTCAAATCGTTTACCTTTTTAATTTTTTTTCGTATTTGCAACTCATTGCAGATCTTTTCGAAATCAAACAAACTGCCAATTGCACTGAAAAATAAGTCTGTTGTTTTTACTGTACTTTTGTGTTTGTATTCTATTGCTTTAATTAACAGGCCATCTCCTAATTTCTTTTCATTGTTCAACTTATCAAATTTCACTGTTTGTTTCAGTGTGTCACTTATTTCACTGTTTTGTTTTAATATTATTAATTGATTTTTAACTTAGAAAATAAGTCATTGAGTTACACTTTTAAGGAAAGTTCAATTTTGTTCTCTTTGAAATTTGACTGACTGTAAACGTTAAGGAAATTTATAATTAAATAATTATTGCGAAATGTAATGATGTAACATATAATTAGGTTATATTGAGCATAAGCGAAATTAGAGTATTTTATATAAATAATTATTTTTAATTATTCTTTTCCTAATTTATCTGTTTAATTTTCGCGTTCTAAAATGCTTTGATTTGGTATAACATAGCTATAATAACCGAAGAAACATAGACGTAATTTTTATTTATTAAATGAAGAGAGACTTATCCAGCCAGGATTATCCCGTTCAGAAAGAACTAGGTTGGATAGGTCTTTATTCTTTAATTATGTTAAACGTTTTATTTTTTTTTCCTTCAAATAATTAAGTTTTCCAACCTTAATTTAAAATTCATGTAAAAATTTTTTAATGTTTTTTTATTTACAATCCCCAAACGATTGAATTGATTGAACTATTATCATTTTATTTATTAGCGTTGCATGTTCTCTTTACAGGGTTTATTTTTTGTGTTCTATTCTAGTTTCGTATTGGAGAGTACTTAAAAGCTGTTAATTTATATACATACTATATACATATATGTGTACTATGAAGAATTTTTATGCCCACCAAAAGTATTTAAAATATTTTTATTTTTCATACAATACTAAAGGCCAGTTACGTTGTACAAGGAATGGAGGTTTTTATGTTAATTGTAATTAAGCATCTCACAGGCGTCAGCAAGTAGTTACGCTGATTCGCTTATAGCGGAACTGCCTTTATCCATCAGAATTTACTCAATTATTATATTATATTGTATTTTCTTCGTCACTGTGTATTAATTATTACATTGCTCGAGAAAAATAAAATCTGATTTAGTTTTGTAATCAGGAAATAAGGAATTTTAATAGAATTCCTTGACTATATACTAGAAATAGTATGTTTTATTTTAATTATCATAGGTTTTATGAAAGACGTTCAAAACACCAGGACTGCCAAATTTATTATGTGATATTATTCAAGAATCCTGCGGGTATTTAGTACTTTCGAGAACATATTCAGACTCAACATCTAGAACATTTTTATAGTATTTGGACAAAAGCGTTTCAAGAGCTTTGAAAAACTTATATTGGACATAGTTTAAAATTCGATTCTAAATTTAACTTAATTTGTTCTTTTATTTCTAAATAAATTTTTATTTGTTTTCCTCACTTCAGATATGATAAAGTTAATGAACCATATGATGCGTCATGTGGAAACCTGAAAACTATGTCTTTGAAGCCATTCATAGGCTTTCGTATGCATATTGTCAAAAATTTCTCTTCATTGGCTACTCCTTTAACGCTTTTTCTCTAAAAACACTTTTCAATCGCCGAGTCTTTTTCTTCGCGAAGGGGGTACGTAAGGTAAAAAATATGAAGAAAGATTATTAACAAATCAAATTTAGTCATATAAATTTCTAACTTAAAATCGCAATCTTTTATTTTTTTTTAATTTTAATAAAATACATTCCCTTTTCAAGGATTCGTGTTGCACCGTTTTGCGTCCTCATTTTCTCTGCAATGCAAATCTCTTGCTCAATCGCTTCTCAGAATTGAAACAAAGGATTTGAGACTTAAAATACTCCAGCTACTTTCTACGCCCTACCTTCCGCCGCTCGCATTTGTCTGCTAAATCCTGTCCGCTCAGTAAGCTGCATTTTTTAATTTGAAATTTACATGTATAGAAACTGCAGGACCCAATGCTGCATTTTTCATGTATATATCCTAAGAAATTAACAAATCGCGTGTTAAACTCGGCACGTTTGTCTGCAACTCCATCTTTCCATCTAGGCAACCTCTTCAAGCTATCATCCATGACGCATCGTATATGTGTTTCATCTTTCACAAAAGCTACGATACCGCATGCATATAGAATTGCACAGATATCTGGAACTTTCCGGAAATTTTCCTTTTTGCGTAAACATTCCTTTTGCGGTCCTTGCCGAAAACATCTATTATTTCTTTAAACTGATGGATTAACTTGGCGGTAATTAAGGTTTTAAGAACGAAACTTTCGCCAAGACCTATAAAGAGAGTTTCAAACTGTATTTTGTTATAATCACGTTTACAATTTAAACATTGACCGGTTTCGAAGTGAAACATCTCAACATTACACGAAAGAAATACTTACCAACATAATGCATCACCAAACACACGTATTACGGCATTTGGTTAAAACAAAATGCATGCTAAAATTATCAGATAAACACAGCAAATAAATAAAAATATTATATAACACTACAAAAATACACAAAAACAAAAATTAGGTAAACATCCTAAATACGGTAACAATAATAAATCTAATAAACACAAATATATCTGTATTAAAACAGTATCTCTTTATCAATTATAAAAAGAGTTCAATTTTATGCATTTTTATAACAAAGCATTCTTATACCTAAGTGCCTAAGATTCTTTCAACAACAACCGAGCGATCCAAAAATTGCATATATCAAACTTTCAAAAGGTTTAAATATAGAGACGGATATTAATGACATATTGTTTCAATGAAATAAAATTCTATACAATTACAAGTAATGCATCACTTAGCATTTCAGTTACAGTTTGTGCTGTTAACTTTGAAAATCACTCGTCTGATGCAAGATGAAGATGATGTTTTACGAAGAAGAACAATTTTTTATGATTGAGAATTACTTCGCAAACAGGAATCTGGTTGTGTTGCTGTATTTCTTATATTGTTTTCTGGTTATTGCTTCATATTGCTTCTGGTGTGTTTCATTTTATCCAAATTCAGAAGAAGGTACAGGTTGATGTTTCCAGTTTCTGAAAATCAGATTACCAAGCGGAAAATCATTGTCTTAAGAAGTTCATAAATGCATCGCGAAGTACACTTTAAACTTTCATTCTACTCGGGAAAAACTCATCTCCATTTTGCAATAAAGGGACGATTTTTTAAATTAAAAGCATGAACTACAACTGACATTGTGATGTATTACTTATTCATTAAAAAATTTATTAAAAAACATATTGAATTAGATTAAAAAACATATTGAATTAGATTGAATTAGTTACTTTGAAATGTGGGCAATATGTAATATAAACATTCCTTTTTTAGGTTTTCTCCATTGAATCTTTCGTGTTGTGATATCGGTGTTCAAGCGAAGTAATATACTGACATTGGAACCAAGCATTCGAAGAAAACAGGCTTATACTTCGATTTCCTGACAAGTGTAAATTCCCTTTCCTGACATCAATTTAGATATCCACCAGAAACGGAACATTGAACTGGTAAAGGTTACATCATTCAAATATCTTCAAACCCCGGTAAGAATGCTTGAAGAATTGATGAAAAGCGGGTGTCAGTTTGAAATAAGTATGGCATGTGCTGTTTAAGTGTTTAAGCGGAAGAGAAAAAAATAGATTTAGATCTTTTACATTTTCAACATATTTTTTTTTAAATTCCATTGTCATAAGCATTTCTAAATATGCTTATAACTGTTGATCCGCGGTGCAATATTTCTATTGAAGAAAAAAGCGAGGAATATGAAAGGACGATCAACAGCACATTCTCATCTGAACCATTTGTTTTCAAGACTCTTAATACCACTGATTACATTCAAGTAATTGCAATTGCTGTTATAATAATAGGTGGATTACTAGGAAATATAAGCGTTGTGCTGACCGTTGTAATGAACAGATCAATGAGAACAACAATAAACTTTTATGTCGCAAACTTAGCGGTAGCAGATGCCATGATTTGCATAATTTGCATGATACCCAGACTGATAAGTACTATGACGAAGGAATATTACGCTTTGGGAGAGTTTATGTGCAAGTTCAATCCGTTCACACAGAGTAAGTGAATGTTTATTTCCTCTCTTTAATGATTAATAAATTGTTTTGTGTTTTTTATCGAAATTATTGCATTTATGTACATTTTCGGTGATTTTATGTAAACTTAGGTAAATGTTCTTTAAGCTTGAATACCTATTAACGTTTTATCATTATTTATATATATATAAGGTAAACTATTTCGCAGATATAGTACTGAATTTATAGTTAATTTCTTCTTAGAGTGTACAGAACAACGGCAAAAGAGAATAAATTTTCGTGAGTTTACGAAATATTTCATATTACTTTTTAATTACTCTTACTTGCTGTTTCTTACTATAATCTTTATTCGAGAAATACTGCTTTACTATCTAGTTTCAGAAATATATTCTTACAAATCTAATATTATGAAAAAAAAGTATTTAATTTTATTGTTATATTCGTAAATCTCATGGACTCTGTTACCCAACTCCGCTCTTTGTTTTGCTTGTTATATTTTTCTGTCATGTAGAAATGTTGTCGAAATTATTCTCTTTAATGTGTCATTATATTTTGAAGCAGAACGTAATCTGAATTAAGAAAATTCTCTTCTAATATATACGTTGCGCCATTCCAGTTTCTGGACACGATGTCCTACGGTCAAAAAATAAGCATTTCTAAATTATTTCTTTTTTAGAATGAAGAATTCCTTAAAACATTTCACAGTACTTAAGAAGAGGATTTTCTTAACTTTTTTAAATACTACAGGTAATGTAGGATTAAAGTTTGCGAAACTCTGGTGACAACACTAAAGTTCAAGTCTTAGAAATCATGATCCGTTACTAACATAGAGTTCACGTAAGTACAGACCCTGTCCAAATGCCCCTATTCGGCCGTTACTTTCGCAATCGTTGTTAATAAACAGACAACTCCCGTTGCACAGATGTTGTAAATGGCAGAAATATTCCTGTTTCGTCATTTTAAAATTTAACGGCAGAAATTTTATAAAATTTATGATATCTAACGTTTTATACGTTGCTTCGGTCTCTAATTTTGTACTCGTTTTTTAAAAAAGAATTGATTCACACATGACAACAATTGAGTGAGATATTTAACTTCAGAATTTCCAACATTTGATATGTTTTTCCATTTTTCATTGAGCCGGTTAGTAAATATGTAAATTGGATTAATTCCACTTTGAGTTTTACACCTGATGTGCATTCAATGACGATGTCACAAAACCTGTATTATTTAACTCCACAAAAAAAGGTTTTTCCAAAAAGGGCATTTATAAAGCTTGTGTCTCATTGGTAATGTGTAGCTGAAGCCAACTGATTTTTTCGAAGAGTGGAATGGGTGTTTAAGAGTTTCGTGGGCCGTTTTTTGATGAGTGACGTAAACTGCAAGAAAATTCTTGGGTACTCTTGGCAACTGGAAAAGGTGCTGTTATTCAATCACAGGCTTTTGCTAAAAACATTCTGCAATTAACGTTGTTTCTGTTGCACTTAGACGTATAACTAGATAAGACACAATAACACGCCGAACAAATAGTAATTCAGAAGTCAAACAACAAAAATCAGCGTTATATTTTCAAATTTTCACAGGACTAGTTTTGATGGTTTTACCGAACCATCATCCTCAGCTGCAAAAGCGTAATTAACGAGATAGGATATAATAATTAGATAAGATAAGATAACCTGGACAGGAGATAACGTACTAGCGCCATCTGTTGATAAAACCAGAACTAAAACATAATTTCTTTAAAAGCTGAAGGCAAAGATGGATTAGAATTAGGGTCGTTAACTACAACACAAAGATTTTTTTGAATGTGAAATGCCTCTAGAAAATCCAGTTTACCAGTGAAAGATGTTTTCTGAATAATTTTGGCAGCAGAAAAATTGAAAGTGTGATTTTCGGACAAACAATGTTGGGCAACAGAAGACTTCTGTGTTTCCTTTTTTCTAGATATGCTTCATGTTCCTTCATGCGAAATTTTAAGGCTCTCTTAGTTTGGCCAATATAAATTAAACTTCCCGTATGGTTCCGCTACGTAGACGATACTTTTACCCTGTTTGAAGGTAATAAAGTTGATTTAAATGAAGTTCTTTCAGCAATGCATTCTATTGATCCTGCTATTCAGTTCACTTTTGAACATAAGACTTGCAACTCTCTTCCGTTTCTCGACATTCTGGTCACACGTAACACATCCAACTTCAGTACTACGGTTTACCGTAAACCTTCATCAGTTTGCCTTCGACCACAGTTTAAATCATGTCATCCGACTAAACAAAAGTTAGGTTCATTTTATTCCTATGTTTTCCGTGCTCTTCAAGTTTGCTCCTCCAAACTATCCCTTGATGAAAAACTAAATTTTATAAAAGCAATAGCTATTGTCAGGGGCTTTTCACCCAACATTATTAATCAAGCAGTTAAAAAATTCTCATCTCAGCACAGCAAAAGGTACACTCTTGTTTTAGGAGATTATAAAAATTCTGTTGTCATTCCCTTCTCTCCATCAATTAGCTATAAAGTTGCACGTATTTTGCAGAAATTTAACTTTATCGTCGTTTAACCTTCCATCAATAAAATTCCGAGTTCCATACTCAAGGACCCCGTTCCGGATATGAATTCCTGGGGTATTTACCGGATTCTCTGCCAGTGTGGTTTGATTTACATTGGCCAAACTAAGAGAGCCTTAAAATTTCGCGTCAAGGAACATGAGGCATATGTTAGAAAAAAGAAAACACAGAAGTCTTCTGTTGTCCAATATTGTTGGTCCGAAAATCACACTTTCAATTTTTCTGCTGCCAAAATTATTCAAAAAACATCTTCGATTGGTGAACTGGATTTTCTAGAGGCATTTCGCATTCAAAAAAGTCTTTCTTCTGTAGATAACGGCCTTATTTCCAATCCATCTTTGCTTTCAGCTTTTAAAGAAATTATGTTCTAGTTCTGGTTTCATCAACAGATGGCGCCAGTAGCTTATCTTCTGTCCAGGCTTTCTTATCTTATCTAATCATTATATCCTATCTCGTTCATTTGCGCTTTTGCAGCTGAGGATGCTGGTTCGATGAAACCTTCGAAACTAGTTCTGTGAAAATTTCAAAATATGACGCTGATTTTCGTTGTTTAACTTCTGAATACGTATAACTAGATTTAAATGACGATTTTAAATTCAGCTTATATACATGTTTCAAACTTTGGGTGTCTTTTTGCAGCAAAATCTTATTTCTCAGTTTATACGCACATGGACTTACATTGGAATATATACGCTAGTCCATCTAAATAACAATAAATCTGTCTCCAAGTTACAGAGTCTTCAGTGCTACTTTCTAAAACTTTCGCGAAGAATTTCTACCTTCCGGAATCAACCATATATATATTATACTATATTTGGCATATATATATATATATATATATATATAATAGTAGCATAATTTTCGAAGCATTGATGTAGGAACACTACGACGTGGAAGCGGAGAAATACTGATTGTAAAGATACTTGATGCTTAAAGCGTCCACCCATTTTTAAGACGAAGCAGTCGAACCGAATTAAATTCCTTATTATTTAGAATTACATTATGTGGCCACAATTCTTTTGGCCCTCCAATCGTGCCCAGATCCAGAACATTCACAATTTTGATATTATTGCCATAGAAGCGAATATACATGATCGCACAAAGCGTCCGGCCAAGAGCAAAGCACAAGCAAAAGTGACGCGTTAAGTTAATAGAAAGAAGGGAGGGAGTCAAAAGTTTCAATTTTTAGTTTTGGTTTGCGATTTGTTGATTGGTCAAGAGGTATCTGCATTAAAAGTTACGTAACATCGCATGATTAATTTGAATGACGCAGTTTAGACTTACGGCACTATTTCTAAGACAGAGAGAGGAAGTTCCCAAATGAAGTAAAACGTAAAAGAGGCTATAGTAAATTAAATTTAGAAGTATGCTTTCATATTTTTTACCTTAAATATATATAAATATTTGGCAACTATATTTGGCATATATATATATATATATGTGTGTGTGTGTGCGAAATATAGTTGAAAAAAAAAACGAAATTTTATGATATGAATTAGCCATTCATGGTTGTAGAAATAAAAAAATTAAAGGAATTGAAGAGAATATAGGATAGATTTTCTATATAAATAACATAGTTCGATCTCCAGAAATGTCAATACATGGAATTTTGCTTGAGAGTCAATATTAAATAACGTAACCGATCCCGTACAGTTTGCCTCGCGGGAGTAGAACGGAAATCGAACAAGAAACTTTGATCGAGTAAATTATTCAAAGATAAATAAAAATGTCAAGATTAGAAAATACCAATAAATAGAAGGGAAGAGAAAAATAGCAATAACGCTGCTTTTATCATTTACTTTACCTTAAAGGTTTAATTCTAAATTCAAATAATTCTAATTGTAAGGAAAAGCTGAGCATAAGATTTTATCTCAGTCTTAAAAATCAAAGGACTTTTTTCTGATTTCTTTACTTTTTGTGGATAAAAATACAATTTTCTTCTTCTTCTTAGCAACGTCGGATAATTTCTGGATAAAATTGTAATAAAATTTATTTACAGTTATGAATTTTTATGTAACTCAATTTAACCTGTGTAATAGACATAAAAGGTAATAAGATGGTTATTAGTTTGCTATGTTTTGCAAACTACATAAATAATATAAGAGTAAAACTTGTAGAGAATTAATTTCGTGATATGCGGAGTATTTAAAAAAATTGCCATATTAAATATTTTTAATGTGAATGTTGTATATCCATGATATGCATTTAAGAAATAATAAGTAAGGTTATGTAAACTTTTAATAACCTGTGTAAGAACATGAAAAATCAACTGTGTCCTCCCCGTAACTCGAACTTTGTTTTTAGCTGACTGGATGTGATAACTGCTTACATAGCAAGAGCAAACACAAGAAAATTCGATAGCTCTTTCGAGTCCCCATCATTTAAAGAACAATCAGAGAAACGTAAAAGACCCAGCCAAGTATTATACGAGATCCAGTCGACAAAATACAGATGGTGTGGAGTTGT